GCTGCATACAAGAAACACATCTCAACACCAAAGACAGACGTTATCTCAGAGTAAAGGGCTGGGAAAAGATCTTCCAATCAAACGGCCCCAAGAAACAAGCGGGCGTAGCAATCCTAATATCTAACAAATTAGACTTCAAATTAAAATCAATCAAAAGAGATGAAGAAGGGCACTTCATATTCATCAAAGGAAAAATACATCAAGACGAAGTCTCGATTTTAAACATCTACGCCCCAAATACAAAGGCACCTACATTCGTGAAAGAAACATTACTAAAGCTCAAAATGCACATAAAATCTCACACACTAATAGTAGGAGACTTCAACACTCCGCTCTCACCGCTAGACAGGACCTCCAGACAGAAACTTAACAAAGAAACAAAAGAATTAATAGAAGTTATGACCCAACTGGGTTTAACAGACATCTATAGAACACTCCACCCAAATACAAAGGGATATACCTTCCTCTCGGCACCACATGGAACCTTCTCTAAAATTGACCACATAATAGGAAACATAGCAAATCTCCACAGATACAAAAAAATTGGAATAACCCCTGCATCTTATCAGACCACCATGCATTAACATTAGAATTCAACAATAACACAAATCACAGAAACCCTACAAACTCATGGAGATTGAACAATGCACAATTGCACCATCCCTGGGTAAAGGAACAAATAAAAAAAGAAATTAAAGACTTCCTCGATTTCAATGAGAATGAAGACACAACATACACAAACTTATAGGACACTTTGAAAGCAGTGCTGAGAGGAAAGTTTATAGCACTAAGTGCCCACATGAAAAAACTGGAGAACAGTCATACTAGAGAATTAATAGCACAGCTGAATGTTCTAGAACAAAAAGAAGCAAACTCCCCCAGGAGGAGCAGACGCCAGGAAATAATCAAATTGAGGGCTGAAATCAATCAAGTAGAAACCAGGAAAACACTGAGAAGAATCAATGAAACAAAGAGTTGGTTCTTTGAGAAAATCAACAAAATAGACAAACCTCTGTCCAAACTAACCAAAGAGACAGAGAGAGAACATGCTAATTAACAAAATCAGGGATGAAAAAGGGGACATAACAACGGACTCTGAGGAAATCAAGAGAATCATCAGGGCATACTTTGAAAATCTGTACTCCACAAAATTTGAAAATTTAAAGGAAATGGACAATTTCCTGGATAGATATCACTTGCCAAAACTAAATCAAGAACAGATAAATAATCTAAACAGACCTATAACCCCTAATGAAATAGAAGCAGTCATCAAAAGTCTCCCAAACAAAAAAAGCCCAGGCCCAGATGGCTTCAGTGCAGAATTCTACCAGAAATTCAAAGAAGAGCTCATTCCAATACTCGTCAAAGTATTCCACACAATAGAAGCAGGAGGCTCACTGCCAAACTCTTTCTACGAGGCTACAATTACCTTGATACCCAAGCCACACAAAGACACAACTAAGAAAAAGAACTATAGACCAATTTCCCTCATGAACATTGATGCAAAAATACTCAATAAAATACTTGCAAACCGGATTCAAGAACACATCAGAAAAATCATCCACCATGATCAAGTAGGCTTCATTCCAGGAATGCAGGGATGGTTCAACATTAGAAAATCTATCAATGTAATCCATCATATTAACAATCTGCGAAAGAAAAACCACATGATCATTTCACTAGATGCTGAAAAAGCCTTTGACAAAATCCAGCACCCCTTCATGATAAAGGTCCTAGAGAGATCAGGGATAACAGGAACGTACCTGAATATTATAAAAGCAATATACAGTAAACCAACGGCTAACATCAGCCTAAATGGAGAGAAACTCAAAGCAATTCCTCTAAAATCAGGAACAAGACAAGGCTGTCCACTCTCTCCATATCTCTTCAATATTGTACTTGAAGTTCTAGCTACAGCAATAAGACAACAAAAGGAGTAAAGGGGATACAAATAGGAAAAGAAGAAGTCAAACTTTCACTATTTGCAGATGATATGATAGTTTACATAAGTGACCCAAAAAACTCCGCAAGGTTACTCCTAGAGCTGATAAACACCTTCATCAGCAATGTGGCAGGATACAAGGTAAACTCAAAAAAATCAGTGGCCCTATTATATACAGATGATGAAGTGACTGAGAAAGAAATCAGAGAAACATCACCTTTTACAATAGCCAAAAACAGCATCAAATATCTGGGGATAATGTTAACCAAGGAAGTGAAAGACCTGTATATCAAGAACTTTGTGTCTTTGAAGAAAGAAATCAAAGAAGATACCAGAAAATGGAAAGATCTCCCATGCTCTTGGATTGGTAGGATCAACATAATAAAAATGGCAATCTTGCCAAAAGCAGTCTATAGATTCAATGCAATCCCTATCAAAATTCCATCACAATTCTTCAAGGACCTGGAAAGAACATTAATCAACTTTATATGGAAAAACAAAAGGCCCAGGATAGCCAAAACATCCCTATACAATAAAGGAACTTCAGGAGGCATCACCATACCTGACTTCAAGCTCTATTATAGAGCTATAGTCCTGAAAACAGCTTGGTATTGGCACAAAAATAGGCAGGTAGACCAATGGAACCGAATCGAAAGCCCTAATTTTAACCCACACACCTATGAACACCTGATTTTTGACAAAGAAGCTAAAACTGTACAGTGGAAAAAAGAAAGCATCTTCAACAAATGGTGCTGGCATAACTGGGTACTGGTATGCAGAAGACTGCAGATAGATCCATGTTTATCGCCTTGTACAAAACTTAAGTCCAAATGGATCAAAGATCTCAACATACATCCAGCCACACTGAAACTTTTAGAAGAGAAAGTGGGAGATACTCTTCAACGAGTTGGTACAGGAGACCACTTCCTAAAGATAACACCAGTGGCACAGGCACTGAGATCGACAATTAACAAATGGGACCTTCTGAAACTAAAAAGCTTCTGTAAGGCAAAGGACACAATCAAAAAGACAAAAAGGCAGGCCACAGAATGGGAAAAGATATTCACTAACCCTACATCTGACAGAGGGCTAATCTCCAAAATTTACAAAGAACTCAAGAAACAAGTCTCCAAAACACCAAAGGATCCACTTGAAAGGTGGGGTACAGAGCTAAATAGAGAATTCTCAGTAGAGGAGGCTAAAATGGCCAAGAGACACTTAAGAAAGTGCTCAACATCCTTAGCCATCAGGGAAATGCAAATCAAAACGACTCTGAGATACCATCTTACTCCTGTCAGAATGGCTAGAATCAAAAACACCGAAGACAATTTATGCTGGAGAGGATGTGGAGAGAGAGGAACACTCCTCCACTGCTGGTGGGAATGCCGACTCATACAGCCTCTTTGGAAATCAGTATGGAGATTCCTCAGGAAAATGGGAATTAATCTACCACTAGACCCAGCAATTCCACTCTTAGGCATTTATCCAAATGAGGCAGGTTCATACTACAAGGGCATCTGCTCCACTATGTTCATAGCAGCATTGTTTGTAATAGCCAGAAACTGGAAGCAACCTAGATGCCCCTCAACTGAAGAGTGGATAGAGAAAATGTGGTACATTTACACAATGGAGTATTACTCAGCAGAAAAAAACATTGGAATCTTGAAATTCGCAGGGAAATGGATAGCACTGGAAGAAACCATCATGAGTGAGGTAACCCAGTCACAAAAAGACAAACATGGTATGTACTCACTCATATATGGATTTTAGATATGGATCAGGATAGTGCCAGTCTGCACTTCCACAGATAGAGAGTCTGGGAAACAGGAAAGAACCTAAAAAATATGCATATATGCATAGTACCCAAGAGAAGAGGATGGAGACAAGATCCCCTGAATGGATGGGAACACGGCGAGGGTGGGGGGAGTGGGACCTGGGAAGAATAGAGGGGGTAAAGAGGAAGGGAGTTGGTCATGGGGGAACAGGAAGTTGAGGGGGTGGGGGTAGAATAGGGGGAAGAGGGAATCATAGGATCGAAGACAGATCAGGCACCAGAGTGACCTCGAGTGATCTAAAGGTATAACATCAATTGGCAAGCTAAGCAATAGTGGAGGGACCACCTCGAATGCCCATTCCTGATAATGAACTTGATGTCTATAACCATCCGGGAGCCTTCATCCTGTGACTGATGGAAGCAGAGGCAAACACACAACTAATCACTGAACTGAACCCAAGGAACCCAGTGACAGAGAGAGAGGAGTGATGAGCAAATTGGCAAAGAATGGGCTGGCAAAACCAGCAGAGACAGCTGATCTGAACAGGGGAGTGCTCTTGGACCCCAGACCGACAGTGGGGAGGCCAGCATGGGACTGATCTGGACCCCCCAAATGTGAGTGTCAGTGAGAAGGCCTGGGCAACCTATGGGGCCCTGAGCTGTGGATCAGTGTCTATCCCTGGTATGCAAACTGTCTTCATGTGCCTATAGCACAAAGAGAGATGCTCTCTCAGCCTGGACTCTTAGGGGAGTGCCTTGACCCTACCAAGAGTAAAATGACAGACTCTAGATATCCCCTGTGTGGAAGGATTTGGCAATAGGGTGGGAGGGTGGGGGGGAAGGGGAGTGCGGGAAGAGGGGAGGGAGAGGGAACTGGGATTGACATGTAAAACAAGCTATTTAAAATTAAAATTAAAAAATTAAAAAAAATTAAATCAAGACCAGATAAACAATTTAAATAGACCTATAACCCCTATGGAACCAGAAGCAATCATTAAAAGTTTCCCAACCCCCGCCCCACCACCACCACCACCAAAGGAAAAAAAAAAAAGCTCAGGTAGGAAATTAATGAGACAGGCAGGTAGGGAGAATCAGAGAAGCAGAGGCCATGCTGGAGCGACAGGGTCAAGAACGCACAGGATGTCCTGGGCTGTGGGGCTAGTGGACATGGGGAAATGAGAGATAGCGCAGGGTTGGGGGGTGGGGGGGAAAACGGGGTGGAAGGAAGCGATATGCAGAGCAGCTAGGACGGGGGCCGGGCAACAGAAGGGCTGGGGCTGTGCCTGTCTGAGCTTGCAGTACCTCCTCCCTTCGGCGTCTCCCGGGGTTGAGCCTCGGCGGCAGCCCGCCCCTCATCTTCAGGCGGAGGCTTCAGCAAAATCCAGTCGTGAGCTCTGCTTCAGGAAGAGGGTCCTTGCAGCCGCACCTTTCCGCTTGACGGCCCACGGTCCCTATGCGCTGTTCCGACCTAGGCCTGTGACCAGTAAGTCGGGGAGGTGGATGAACCGAGTGAGGCTGGGAGGGAGGAAAAGATTGGGGGGGGGGCGGGGAGAGAGGATCTGAGGAGGATGGAGCCGCAGCCCAGACTGCCGGTCCACAACCAGTCCAAACCTATCCTGATCAGTGCCCTACCCGGACTGCTGGCCTGAGCAAACCCGGGAAGGGTGGAGTGGGGCGGGGAAGAGAAAGACCTACCTAGGGTCCAGGCCTGCCCAGCGCTGGTTGTTTGCGTTGCAAGGAATCATGGATACGGATTGTGCTCCCCACCACCACCACCAGTGCAGTGCGTGCAGCCGCAACCCCTGGCTGAAAGGCTCAAGCGAGAGACATCAGGAGATCTGGCATGCCAGAGCAAGTCACACTAATCTGAGTGTATTGAGGGCTCTCGGTTCCAAACTAGCGTCCTCCATACTCTAATCCATCCCCAGCCCTTCCAGAGACCCGTGTGCAGAGCAAGGGATTCGTACCCCTGCCCCCAAAGCCTGAGCCCCACCGACGGAGCTCAGCAAACCCCACCTCCACCCTATCACAACAGTAAAACGGCCGCCCTGTTGTTTGAACCCTTTCACCCCACCCCATCGCCACCCGGTTACATAGCAGGAACCCAAACCAAAGTCCTAGTGCAGGAGGCTAAAAGATCCCTTGCCCAGCCCTGAGGCCACTGCCCTCCAAAATGCTGGGCGCCCTCTGTCACATCACCACAAAATCAGAGGCTCGGTCTGCCTTCAGACTGATGAGCCTATTCCCAGGCCCTGACACCCCCTCGCCCAGGCCCTAAGCCAAGCTCCACCCCTTCACAGAAGCTGAAGCCCCTTCCACCCTCTTCTCACAGATTCTGCCTAGTAGGATGAACTGGACTGCTGCCACGTGCTGGGCTCTGCTGCTGGCCGCCGCCTTCCTCTGTGACAGCTGTTCGGCCAAGGGTGGCCGCGGAGGCGCTCGAGGCAGCGCCCGCGGGGTACGCGGAGGCGCGCGCGGGGCATCAAGAGTGCGCGTGCGGCCAGCACCCCGCTACGGCTCCTCTCTGCGAGTGGCGGCTGCAGGGGCAGCCGCAGGGGCTGCGGCGGGTGTGGCTGCGGGCCTTGCCACCGGCTCTGGCTGGAGGAGGACCTCGGGGCCTGGAGAGCTAGGCCTGGAGGACGATGAAAACGGGGCAACTGGAGGCAACGGAACTGACCGAGGAGTCTACAGCTACTGGGCTTGGACTTCGGGCTCCGGGTCCACACCCGGCCCACGTATCAGCTTACTTCTGGGCGGCACTCTTGGTGCCTTAGAACTACTTTGGCCCTAGATCAGGCTGAACTCCGACCCAGATCCCAGTGGTCTCCAGCTCAGAAAGTCACTTCCTTTTGCTGACTGGTTCCCCAATCCAGATGACAGCAAGCTCTCTCGCAATTTGTGGACATGTCTACTCTCTTGCCCATCCCAGTCTCCCAAGCTTCCACCCTGGCAGGAACAGCTCCACTGCCAGGAAGGCAGGCTGCCCTCCACTCTCCAGAGCTGCCCAAGAGGAAGTACTGGGCCATGCCTGCTTGCCCTGGACACAAAAAATGAATAACCACCAAAAAGATGCCATCCTCAGGTGGGCCTGTCTGATCTGCCACTAAAGCCCAAAAGCCCTTGGGCCTCCCATGAAAGCAGAAGGAATGGACCACTTCCCTCTGGACTTCACAATTTGGTGAAGAGAACATTCACTTGGACTGCAGTGTGAGAAATGTCAGGTGCTAACCACCTGCCCAGAGCAGGTCCTAATGATGCCACAGCTCAGGAACATCCAGAGCAAAAAATATCTGTCTCAGGACACCCACTGTGGTCCTAGGACATGCTACCAAGGCCACCATAGTGTTTCTTCATTGAGGACTGCCTAAGAGACCTGTCAGAAGGGTTCCCCCCTTGGAGTCACTTGGTCATAGGACTACTTAACTGCTCTAAGATCCACTGAGGGTAGGGGTTCCACATTTGGAAACATTCCATTTCCTTTGAACTTTAGGTTCACAAGTGAGAGTCACTTGGATACAATACCAATCCTGCTGCAGCCCTCTTTGTACATGATCCAAACTACAAGATTCCCACAATGCTGGTAGATAACAGCATCTTGGGTTAGGAGATCCCCTCCCTTGGAAACAGATGGTCCAGGAAGGTAAGAGGGTATGGCACAATTGGCAACTGGAAGCCTGCACGCTGGAGAAGGCAACAGTTCTTCAGGCCCACTGCTGCCTGAGGAAAGCAAACAGACACAGCAAAGCCAGCCTCAGCGGGTCGTGAGTGTGGGCTGACACTACTAGAAGTTTTCTGACCATCTATATCCATCCTGGAACAGAGCTGATGGCCAGGGTGGCCTTAAAGAGATGCACTGCAGTCCTCACGTGGATCTACCTTTGGGCAGACTGGCTCCTTGCTGCTCCAGGGTCCACCAGCACATCCTTGCCCCATGGAGTGATAGGTCTCTGGGCTCAGTCAGGATACGCAATGCTAGCCTGGCAAACCTCTTGTTAAGTGTACAGGTTTCAAGGCTATTGGCAGGACTCCAGCCAAACATTTTCTTGACCAACAAGTTGCAGGATGCAGCTCCCTGCACCCTCTATCCACACTGCCGGTGCTCTTAGGCACAGCCAGCCGGATGCTTCTCTGTCCCTTACAGACAAAGCTCAATACCAAGACCAGCAAGCTAAGGGCCAAGTCCACTCAGGGCCTCAAAGGCAAGTACCATCAAGTCTGGTATAGGGAGACCCACTAGAGCCCATTCAGCTTGTCAAACACCTATGAGGATGGGTTATGTGGACCAGAGCTTCACCTACCAGAGTACCATGTGTTAGTTCTGGACATAATGGAAACATCACCTTTTAATTATCATTTCACACACCAATCTGACTTCTCCAGAGCATTTAGCACTTGGCACAGCCACATCTCCGAATACCTTCTCCACAGCAGGAACCATAAGATGCTGAGGAGTCTCAGAGGCGGCTTATACTGCAGTCACAACAAGAGGCAACAGTGAAAGACTAGCCCCTGTTATCAGCCATCCACAAGAAGCAGAGAGCCCACTGAGCATCCAAGCACTGGTTCAGGCAACTATGGGAAGGCCATGTCAATACTGGACAGAAGAAACTAGAACTTCTGAGCAGGTGCAGCCCAGCTGGTCCAATAGTACCTCCTGTCTGTACCAACCAGTCCCCTTCCCTTTTTCTTTCTAGACAGCAAGCTGCTGGCAGCAACGCCCTTTAGATGCCTACAGGCATATGGAGGTCAACCATGCTGGGGTACCCTCTGCACCACATCCTGCAGGCACCATGGTTCCAATGGCTAGATGGTGGTCCCCTTCCAGTGCTTCTCTGGCCTGTGGGAAGTTGAGCCTACACCCGATGGACAGGCTCTGAAGTACAAGGGGAGAGGACATTCCTGGGCTTTTCTATTCCAAACCTCTCGTTGATGTCTGTGCACACATGTATCAGTAAAGAATTCATTGTGAAACAAAGCCCTCTACTGGTAGCAAGCTTCTTCCTCATTGCAGGATGTTGAGACACCTGACAATCTGAATTAGGAACCTAGTCCCTAATCTACCAATTCCCAGCGTTCACTGGTGGGAGGGGACTTAACTTATGGGCTCAAAGTACTAAGTGCACAACAGAAAAGCCATCAGAAAATAGGCCATTTAATCTGGTGTCATGGTACACACCTGTATAATCCTGGCACTCAAGAGGCTGGGGCAGGAGGAATGCGTGTTTGAGACCAGGCCAAGCCACATAATGAAACATTGTCTCAAAATAACATAACATAATTAATTAAATGAGAAACAACCAGAGGAATATGTTTTAAAGTCTTTTTAATCCATTTTTTAAAATTACAGATTATTGCTTTGACTCCTCTAAGATAGCATTAACCTCTCCTTGAGACTAAGAGAAAACCTCCTGACCAAGCCATTTATACAGGATTCCTGAGATCCCATGGTAGTAACCAGGACTGACCAGGCTCTAGTGGACAAAAGAATATAGTGCCCTTTGGGGCGGGGGCCTGAGTCACATATAGCCTCTGGATAGGGGAATAGTTCCAAGCTTTAAACACTCCAGCTGCAGTTCCATGGAGGATGCAGAAGACCACTCTCCAGCCAGCCAGTTCAGGGGTCAGCATCATCAGCAAGCAGACATAAGATCACGGTCCAGCATCACTTGGCCCAACAGCCCACTGCGGAAGGTCCGGAGGAAGTCTCGGGCTGCCATGGCATAATCAGGCTGGATAACATTAACATTACCTGAGGACAGAGGGTCTGATGAGAAAGAGGTCTCTAAGGACGGCCTCAGCCTAAGAGACCACTAAGGGTTCCATCAGTGAAACCTGAGGAACAGAGAATGTTCAGGAAGAGTGCAGGCATCATATCCACCCAGCACTGTCCAGAGTTAGGACCACACTCTGAAGTATACACTACAAAGTCCTTCCTCCCTAGAAATTTCCATAGTTCCCCTTCCCACACTCTAATACCAGGACAGCTGCCCACCGGTTCCCTTCCGTGTCTCACTCCTGTCCTCCAGAAAGGGTAAGGGTTCCAACAGGTGACAGAGTAAGGGCCCCATGCCACACAGTGCAGCTCACTCACCTGTGCCTGTGAGCACTTTCACTCTTCGGGTCTTCCCCAGTTTCACGGCCACATTCTTCAACACCCACTCTATGTGGTCACAGGCACTGGCCAGGCCGTAGTGCTGCACGTACCTGCAAGTCCACGGCCCACTCAGACTTGGGTGAGCCTCCAAGCCTGAGGAGGGTTCCCACTCACCCACACCTTAGAGGGGCCAGCTCCTGGGCTCCTGAAAGGACCAGACTGCTTCTGCTTCCAGGCAACTTAGTGCTCCACAACAAGGCTGAGAACTTCTCACAGAAAAGTAAAGACTTATCACCCAACAAGGTAAAGTTCAAATGCCTGGCACCCAGTCAAAAGTAACCAGACCTTCAATGCAGAACAGCCAACGTCAGCTGACCCGTCAGTGACTGGACGCTAAATGGTAAGCACAATAGCAAGTCAGCTGTTATAATTACACACTAAACAGTCACAAAGCTGTGGCAAAGCCCATGTGAAAAAAGGTCTCAAGTGAGCTTCTCTGGGGAAAGCTCTGAAGAACAATGGAATAGACATAGACACCAAGCCAGAGAAGATGACTGACTGGACCAGAAATAAAGTATCCTGAGCAGCACATAGGGGCCTGGCCACTAGTGAATCAGGCACCTGCATGGACAGAGGTGAGAGGTCACAGACAACCTGTAACCACCACAGAGGAGAGAGGTCACAGATAACCTGTAACCACCACAGAGGTGAGAGGTCACAGCCGGCCTATAACCACACAGAGGTGAGAGGTCACAGACAACCTGTAACCACCACAGAGGTGAGAGGTCACAGCCGGCCTATAACCACACAGAGGTGAGAGGTCACAGACAACCTGTAACCACCACAGAGGTGAGAGGTCACAGACAACCTGTAACCACCACAGAGGTGAGAGGTCATAGCTGACCTCTGTGCACCATGGAACAGGTGAAATTCAGTCATTTAGAAATTCAGTGCTGACCTGCGCCACAGGAAATATTAAAGAAAATCTCATGTTCAGGAAACATGAGTAGAAACTTCATTGGGTCTCCACAGAGACAGTCAAAATTGTGTAACATGTTAGCTCAGTGTGGAAAGATCTCTCACAATGGTAACTGTCTACACAGCAAGAGATAACAGCAGTGTCTCTGGGGTTCATAGACCATGCAGAGGCCGCATGTGATGGTGGTGGCACACAGGGTAGGGAGAGAAATGGGACCTGGCTTTGCAGGGTACCTGAGAAGCTCTGGGAACCCTGTTCACAAAGTCACAGGTAACAAGCTAGAAAGAACTCCACAGTGGTAGTGTCCTAGCAACATCCTCAAAGCACAGAAAACTGGAGCTGCAGATGCCAACAGGAGGTGGGGGATCCAGCAATGCCTGGAAGTTTAAACACTCTTCTTAGTGATTCACGGTACAGATGGGAAGATAACCGGCAACACAGAAATGAGGACACCGTAAAGACCAAACAGAGATCAATGAAGCTGTAGCTGGGCATGGTGAACACGTGTAGTCATTCCTAGGACTCAGAAGGCTGAGGCAAGAGGAGCTCACTTCTACAAAGTGGCCCAGACATTCTCCTGCATTTTACCCAAGAGAAGAAGCTCACATCACATAAAGACTGAACATGAATGTTTCCAGAAGCTTTGTTTGTGACACTCAATGACTACACACATTCAAGTCCACCAGAGTGAACAGATGAACCAAGTGCAGGATGTCTGGGTGATACACAGTGAGCTCAGCCACAAAAGGAATGTAGAGCATGGGTAACACAGAGCAGCCATGCCCAATAGAGGAAGCCAGGTGAGAGAGGATGTATCCTGTACCACTTCACTGACAGACTGTTCGTCTGCTTCCCCCACCCACAAGAGACAACGTGAACCAGGGTCTTACTATGTGGCCCAGGCTGGTCTCAACTTGTGATCCTATCTCATTTTCAGAGTACTGGGATTTGGGATATGTACCATCACACCCAGCAGAAACCACTATTTTGTGTGACAATATGAGGTGGCCGTATGTCAAAACTTACCAAATCACACACTGGTAATAATGTAAGATTATATAATACTTTCATGACTTATTTGTAAAACCATACCTAGATAGGATGAGCAAGCAGGGGGCTGCAGCCCCCACACCCACTGCCACTCACCCAAATAGCCCATGCCTGTTGAGGGTGTAAAGGAGGTAATCTGCCATGGTCTCTTCCCCAACAAGGTGGTCCAACACAGTTCCTGGAAGACAAGCAGCTAAGGCAAGCCCATCGAATAGGGGACACCTGTGTCCCACCAAGCCCAAATGCCTCCCAGCTGACGGCAGAAGACCTGGAGCTACTAAGGACCCTCCCTGCAGGATGGCTCACAACGGTGGCCTTCTTCCTATATGGTATGTGACTTGGTTGCCACCCCCATTACAGGGCAGAATGCATGCTGTGAGCTAGTCCTCTCTCAAACCCGTGAAAAGCATCTGGTAGCAGGAAGGGTGGAGGAAATAACAACCCCACCTGCCTAAGGGACAAAGTCAGCAGTGGGGCAGAGAGATAGCCATCCCTAGACGGGGCTCACCACACAGGGCCAGCTTCAGGCCTGTCTCCACATTTTCAATCTGAGGAGCCAGGACCCCAGGAGTATCCAGCAAGAACATCAGTGGACGCTCGCACACCTGTGCAGCATAAGGTGCATCAAGTCAGGAACCTCTGCCCAACAGCCAAATCATTGCCAGAGACTCTGAGGCAGGCCTCTGCATAAACCCACCCGTAAGTTGTCTTTTGTACCAAGGTTTAGAGTCCCCGTTGGGTATAATTTCTGCTTAATTTGAAGAACAAATAAAAGCCCAAGGTCCGTGGAAAACAAAAGGGAATATGTGAGTGTAGCACTGGCAGGTGAGGTAAAAAGGCTACCTTCCTGACAGTCACACAGGAGTACAGCAGCACTGGCAGGAACATGAGAGGAGGGAGGAAGGAGGTCAGAGGCAAAGCCAATACTGCACTCAGGGGGCCAGGCTCAGGAGAACCAGCAAGGCTCTGGGCAGAGCTCTGTGCTCACCAACCAAGGACCCTACCTGGATTCTGGATGTCACAGCTCTGGTGATTCCTGGCTCACCACCCACTCTGGTAGCTTTTCCTGAAAAGACAGGAGAGAGGCCATCAAATATTTACACACAGCAACAGAACTAGTAATGAAATGTATTTAACTAACATATCCAACAAGCATGGACACCCCCATGGAGGGCCTCACCCTCCCTGGGGAAATGAAGGGATAATGGGGGGGGGTTGGAAGGAGGGCACGGGAGGAGGGGAGGGAAAGGGAGAGGGACCTGGAACTGACTTGTGAAGCAACCTTGTTTCTTATCTAAATTTAAACTGAAAAATAAATTTAAAAAAAACATATCCAACAAGCAGAACAGAAACCAGAGGTCAATAGTTGTCAAATTACAATCTGTTCCTTACCGATCCCAAAGAACACATGGTTTTCAAAAGCTAGGCACAGTGGCCAAGGGCTAACAGATGACCAAAGCTCACTTCCCAGGGTAGAAAGTTGCCCCCTACTGCAAAGGTCATTCCAGACCTGCTTCTCCACCTCAAAGCCTCTCCTGAACTCACCTACTACACAGTAGGCAGGCTGGCACCACCCTTGATCCTGGCACTGTTGGTGCCTGGCGTGGGACCCAGCCCAGGGAACCCCAGAGAGGCTGCCCATCACAGATGACCAGAGGAATGAAATATAGACAGTGGACTAACTTGGACCAGAGGAGGGAACTGCTTACAAAGTTCCCGCATGGACAAACCTAGGACATTATAGTAAGTGAGACAAGTTATCCCACAGTTGGACACAGTTGGACAGAAACAGAACAGGGCTGCCAGGCACTGGGGCAAAGAACAGGATGATATTTTTGAAGCCTCAGTCTCA